ATATCACAATTAGAGCTAAACAAATGACAAAATAAAGGTAAATATGATGATAATAAAATGCCTTTTGAGATGGCATTACCCTTAGGGATAAAATTGAAAGGCTTTGGTTATTTCACTGCATTCAGACCAGCTAGTAATGATGAAGAAAATCACCCCCATGAGGAAAGAAGGAAAAAGCAAATTGGAAAGAGAAGTGAGAAATTAAATTTAATCTTTCTCATTAAAAGCTTTTCACATTTAGTTGTACGTCTCAGCCTCTCCCAAGTGAACGCAGTCAAAATTCCTCCTATGTTGGTCTGACTACTTTTCTGCCAGGTGGAGCAATATAATACTTCAGCTGGACTTCTGCAGAGAAGTGACATCCAGTGACATTTCCCCCCCACACACACGCTGTTTGCAATGAATCTGATCTGCATAGGCAACCCACCTGTTGTACCTTTTCAGGAGCAGTCCCTTTTTTTTACAGCTAATGTTTCCCATCTCAGACAATGCTGATAAATATATTGATGTATTGGTCCCTTCCTTTGATACATGTCTCCTGTCAGCCAACTCACTTCTGCAATAGCATTGCTCCTTTTAATTCCCTCTGTTCAAGTGCACCATTGTCCACATGCCTTTTCAGGACTTTCTACATTAAGTATTGAAGATTACACAGGCTGTTTAGGATGACAAACACAAATTCTGCCACGAGTTGCAAGGACAAGAGTGGTAGAGTAATTTCCCAGCCATACACATTAGTTTGCTCTATGAATTCTTAGAAGAATTTTAAGGAATTTAAGAGGGAACTGACAGAGCTAAGATGATTAGAGGAGGTGATGATGCAGAAGTCATTTGAGAGGAATAAATAAGCAACACAAACTGTAAAGAAATGAGTTATAGCTAAAGCAGGGGTTTTTTTTTGAATGAAGTCCTCTCATGGGGAGTGATTTGGCAAAACTGTCAACTCTATGCAGTAAAGGAAATACGAGCTCCACCATGACTATTGACAGTATAGTTTATCTGGTTTAGTGAAGGATTTTCCTGTGAACTAATCAAATACTGACCACTAAGTTCAACTTGGTGTTCTTCCTTACAGATAACCATATGGCAGCAGAGATAAAAAACCTTGAGAAATAATTACTAGAATTCACTTGACACTGTCTCTTAAGTGTTGTGCAACAACATACTCTGTTTGCTTTAGTGAGAACTATGTATATGAAGTGTCTTAGAAAATAGGTGTACAGGTTGGTAAATATGGATTTACTACTGTTGGAAATTTAAAGCCTATTGAGACAGCTGGATGACTGGTGTTATTTTATCTTCCATATTTTAATTTTACTTCATTTATCTAGATCATTTATTGGGGAAAACCACTAACAGAGGCAGTCTCTGTTGCTGTTTGTACAGTAACAGAGTACAACTGTTGTACTCTATGTACAACATACAAACTCCCTGGGACAGGGAGTTCAGGGATTTGATTTTTAAATTAAGATTACATGTCTTTCTTTCAATTGCATGCAAACATTACTGAACTACAAAATTTCAGCCAGAAGTTTCTGCATCTAAGTTGACTATAACAGCTGTAAAGTTTTGATATTACAGGAGATACGTAATCAAAATAGTAATAAAAACTATTTAATATATATGATGGAGCACATAGTTATATGTGCATATTTTTAACCTACTGAATGGACTTTCAAAGAAATCAATACATTTAAATCAAACCATATTTAATACATTTATATTTGTTGCCTCAAAACATTAATAAGGCAAGCAGATAGGAGAATTTTTTAGAAAAGACTGGATATGTATCTGAACAAGAACAGAGAGCAGCCCAGCTCTGTTGTGCTCAGATGGGATTCTTTTAAGTTTCCAACTTTTAAAGTATCGATAACACAGCAACTTCACTCAATAATATCTAGAGGCAGTAGCGAATGCCTTGATTCAAGTCCAGTTGAAATCAATGATAAAGTCAATGAAATCAAGTTAACTTCAATGGAATTTCAGTCAGTTCCAAAATTCTGGTGGGTAATTGCTGCTGGACAAACTGCTGGATTATGTCATCCTTATGCTGATTTAATTAATCAGAATCAAATGCAACATACATGGAATGTACCTAGAGGACTGCACTTTTGATTCAATTATGATTATTTGGACAAAAAAGGAGAAAAATCTCAGTTCAGGCTTCCATTGTTCTCCCATGATTTACAGCACCTAGTCACTAGAATATTCATCTATCTCACAGTCATATTTGGTTATCTATTTACAAACAATCTTTCCATCTTACAATGTGATCTACTCATGTAAAAACAGTTTAACACAGAACAAAAAGCAATTTTCAGAAGACGATCAGTACTTCATGAAATTTGACCAAAGGTTTTAATGCTTCAGCCCATTTAAAAGATTATCAGTAAAACTGTTTTCAGATTGCAAGTGTTCTAGATTTACTTTTCAGATTGTGATCTGTTTATTTAAGGTAGTAAATGCCTAAGAAATTGAATGGCACAATGTATAGCGCATAATTGAGAACAATTCTTTTTGCAGGAGTGGGAAACAAGACAAGATTTTCCTGTTTTGAATGAAGCTTCAGTGTAATATCTTAAAGGAAAATGAACAAAAAAGGAAAGCAAGACTAGAAACATAACACTACACTTTTATAATTTCTTGTCCCTTAAAAACTAGCAGAAACCAGAGTAAAAGACAAATGACCAATGAATTAAAAATCTATCTTTGTATTGTTACAAACCTCTAAGAAAATGAAAGAAGACAGCACCTAGTGTAGGGTAGAAATTCCCACACTAGGTTTGTAGATCAAGAGTGATACTTTGTTGTTGTTTCATTATGTTACCAGGGTATTATGAATTAAGTCTGACTTTCACTGGGGGTTCTGGAGATGGAATCTAAAAGTTCACAGAAGAGTGGTTACATCTATACTAGCAGTAATACATTTTAAAGAGTGGATTGGATGACCAAAATAATTCATGCAGAATTGTCATATAGCTATGTTATATATTTGTCTTGAGGAATTTACTAAAGGTGACATATAATCTATTCCCTGGGGATAAATGCCTCTAGGATTTCTGTTTTGGAGCTTTGTGGAAGGAACAAGTATTACACATGTTCTGAGAGAGGCATGGGGAGGCAGCAGGCCCTCTTGGACCACGTGGCTTGTGACATGGAGCCATCACTTGTTTGTTTTCCAAAAGGAACCTGCTCTGGGGACATCAAATCAGTCTGAGAACTGAACCAAGGGCAGGCAGGAGATCCACTTCACAGCTGCCCATTGTTTTGTAGCAAACCACTCATTTGGACAGAGTCCAGGCATCCCTCCCCATTCGGTTTTCAGATGTTACAGAGATTTTTCACTTCACATAAATAGTGGGATAGAGTAATTTGGTGCAAATGAGTTTTGAGCATCTTTGTGGAACAACAATAAATAGAAAAAGGTTAAAGCAACTCATTAGGAAACGATAGGGAAGCTGCTTAGAAATAACATTATGAGGTTTCATGTTATAGAATGGAACTGAAGTTACTAGACTAAGAAAACCCAGAAAGAGCCAACTCTAAATTCCCTGCATGTCACTTCTCAAAGCAACATGTACAGTATTGCTCACAATAGCTGAAGTCTTCCCTGTGTTCCAGTCTTGATTTTAATCTCATTTACCCTAATGGAGCAGCGTGGGGCTGAGTTGTAGTAATCCTTAGTTCCACCAGCATTATTAAGATAAGAGGGAAATATGACATCTGAAATTTTACAAAAAGCAGTCAGTTAGCTAGTGCTTTGTGACAGCTTTTATATATGCATCTAATGAATGGTGGAGAATTATTACAGTGGGGGCATAGAAGTAAGCATGGATCCTATAGCAATAAATAAGAGCTGATATAAATCAGTGGCATTTTATTGACTTCAGTTCTGCTGGCCTGATTTAAATCAAGTATGAATTTGGCCCTAGGGCCTTGCAGAAAAATTTCTGGGTCTTAATCCTTCTGTATTGATTCACAATTTTTTACTAAATTTTGGTGAGAATTTGGTTGAACTCAGATTTCAGGATTCTGCTGTCACATAACAAAAAATAACACCCTCATGAACAGTTCATTTAGATTTGAAAGGTACATAAATGTTTTCTAGAAATTATCAGTTTAAATATTGTTGCTATTGTGTTTTTAATGCTAAGGCATTTTTCATTCTTCATATGTGTTGGTTAAAAAAATCAGAAGCATAGATAAAAACAAACAAAACAATTTTTTTGGTGTGTTATCTAAAACATAGAAGTTGCATATTAAATAGGAGCAAGCAAATATCAATGGATTCATAGGCAGATAGCACTGTAGGTGAAGTCAAGTAATATGAGATTTCTTCATTTTTCTTTCTTGTTGCTTTTATTAGAGTGTTTTCAACACAGACTCATCAACTTCACAGGAGTGTCAGACTCTGAACAGAACTACATGTTAAAGCAATTACTAATTACGGGAAAAGAAAAAAAAGTATACAAAAGAAAGACAATTTTTTAAGGGACTCTCTTGTCTCAATGTTTTGTACATCCTCAGAAAAAGTAATTGCATTGCTTTTGAAACCACAAAACAAGGCGTGAGTATAATTTTATATTGCAGTAAAAGTGCTAAAGCAGATCTACAAGTGATCTATTTTTATGAGCTTCTATCTCGCTTTCAGGAGGCTTTCCATGTCTCTATGTAAGAGAAGGATGGCAGGTTAGACTCAAAAGGAGCATAAAGTATAGCTCTGCTTGCCTTGCTCTGAAATGGCAAACTCAATGTTGGCATCAAACACCGGAGCACATTAAATCTCCTATTGCACAGTTCATCAGTATGACAACAGCTGCAAGTGAATGGGAGATAGGGAACACAGAAAGTGCCCTCAAACCTGGGTATTGTTAAGGTCTGCACCTCCCCTTAATTAGGTTCATCTGCAAAAGCACCAATCAGTCCTAATGGAAAAAAAGAGAAAAAGAAAAAAAAGAAGCTGTCAGGGCATGAGCTATATAACTGCTTCAGCTGCTGGACTTCTAGGTCTGTTGGTTTGGGACCCATAGCTGTGTTTTGTTGCAGGAAGCTTATTCTTCCTGGGCTGAAGAAGAAAAGGTATTTTCCCTTTTGGCTTATGAAATACATAGATGTAAAAAAGCATTTGGGGGCTGGTTTTTTTAGCTTTTATTACAAGTGGCAATTAAAAACAAAAAAAACAGGTCAAATGGGAGTGAAATTTTGTTGGGATGTTCTTTTGTTTTGTTTTTTTTTTTTTTGGGAGGGGTGGAGAAGAAAAAGAAAAATTAAAATCACTGTAAATAGCTAGCAAATTTATTTTAATCCCAAAGTAAGTATTTTACTTTCTGCTATAATCATGAGATTGAATACAGAAGTAAATCTGTATGAATTTTAAAGCAAAATTCTTATTTCCACATCAGAAAAGGAAAGACTGTTTCCAAGTGGTTGCCTTGACTTTTTCTTGTTTCCTTGGTGTTTTGCTCTGTTAAAATTGCTTGACTGGCTGTTGTAAACGCACAAATTGATGCAGGCGAATGCATCTGAGGGTTTTTTTTCTGTGAACAAACTAGTCTTCTGAAATATTTTCATGCTTCTTCAAAGCGCATATAAAAAATACTAAATTTGATCTTTGACTGGGTAAGTGGCTCTGAGAAGGGTCTGAGTGCCTTCTGTTTCCATTAAAGCCATGAAATACTTTTCTGATGACTCTTAGCATTTCCCAGGATTAGTTTGCCATCTCATGCCTTGTATGTATTCCAGCCTGCTCCCAGAACAGGGGAAGCAGCACTCAAGAGTGCTCTGCTCACATGCATGTGCGCAAACCCTGACTTTCGTGCACTGCAGTATCTATAATCAGTGCTTTTTTTGTAGGAGGTAGCTTTGTAGTTTGGATTAGGGTGGAGTAGCTAAAGGAAAATAGTAAAAATATTTGTTTTATTTCCTTAAGATACTGTGAAACAAAAGAAATTTTTAAACAAAACTGACCTAGGAACTTAGTTACATATGGGTAAATGCAGTCCTGGTTGTATGCCCACAACAAAACCACATTTCTGAAAAGGAACACCCCAGGTTTCTAAAGGTGTATTATTAGTACTCTTCAGCAAAATATTTCAACAAACATCAATAGCCAAGGCAGAGAAAAGCAATGGCCACAAAATGGCTTCTTGGAGGAGGCTGCATCCATCAGTCATAAACCTGGCCTTGTAAAAGTTGCTACTTGCCATCCCTAGCCAAATCCTTCCTGGTAAAATGTGTATCATTTGAGACATGGCCCTGCACATCTTGGTACAAAGAGAAAACTCCTATCAGATTTCTTTTTCTTTGACTGTGTTAGACAACCACAATTGCAATTCCCTGCAGGCCTGAGCACCAGCACAGTCATTGCCATGTCACTCAGCTGACATGTTTTCAAATCGGCCCTTTTCTGCACCTTTCCCTTAACACGAGTTACAGCTGTATTCATATTCCCTGCCCTGGTTTGGTACTAGGGTTAGAGCCAGCAGAATCAGGTTTATTTTGCTGCTTAAGTCTTCCAGAAAAGTGTCTATCAAGCCTGCAGTAATTCACTTTAAAGCAGTGGCTGGCATACCCTGATCAGGAACCCTGCTTCTACTGCTTGTTACTACTAAGTTAGTAAAGGCTTGTTACTATGCCTTTACTTCAAGACATCATAGGTGCGCAAAATGCAAACTGCAGAGGAGGTCAGGGCACTGTAGATGCGTATCAAAGTTGCCTGAGTATGAGAAAGTCAGCGATGCCTATGATGGAGGCAGCAGTTAGTTGTCAAGCTTCAGTCTCTGGCACATTACACAAACTGCACTTTGTGTCATATCCATTGTGTGTACCTGCCAGTTCTGTAAAGCACAAATTTTGCCAAGGGAGAATTTCATATGGTTTCTTGTCATTTGTTAGGATTTGATTTCTTTAAAAAAGGAAGTTGGATTATTTTTCTTTGTAAGGCTATAAAAATAAGAAATAGATAACAGAGGATGGAAAATAACTGTTGAAGTCAGAAATAAAACATATGTTAATTGTTATGTTTGCTCCAATTACGTTGTCCTTAAGGTTCAAAAGAAAGCTGCTCTTTATGTGTAGGATAACGCTATCCTTGGCTATTACCATTTACCTAGCCATTAAATAAAAAAATGTTGAAGAAATGAGCAGAAGTCAGTGATGTTTCACGGAGTAGAAAGATTAATCCTGAATTATGTGACTTAGGCATGGATATACATGACCAGTGTTTCAACTAATTGAGGGGAAAAAAGCTATCCTAGTCTAAAATGCAAATGAGAAGCAGTAGGACATACTGTAAAGGAATATTTCAGCCATCTTGGGTAAAACAGCATTGGTGACAAAGGTGAAAGCAGAATAGGATTCTGCAAAAATAACTGGTAAAACAAAGCGCTTACACTTAGCAGAAGTATTTGGAACAGAATACCATGTGATGATGGTCTTCCCTGTTTCTTGCAACTTTGAATGAAATACATTTAGTTACTGCGCTATCCAGATGAAGGTGATATGTTCTGCATATGATCTCAGCTCTGTAGACTGGGAGGTCATTTCCAGTCAGAAATGTTGATCTTCTAGGGGAAGGGAAGGGGCCCCACCCATGTTTCATTCAATAGGATGAAAGTCCTGAAAAGGAAGAGGTCTTTTAATTATTCAAAATAAATCAGTTTTTGTTATTACTAGAGTATGACACAGAACTCTGTCAACAGTGGTATGGTTCCCTCTAGGCGTCTGACAGCCAACATTTTGTCAGCTTAAATACTGGTTCTCCTAAGGTGGGAGGGCCTGGATCCAGCTGAAAGAAAGCTTCTGAGAGGGACAAACCTGCGACTGCCTCTTTCTCTTGCAAAGTAAGAATGCTGAATCGTGGGAGGTGACATGAACATTTTATCCACGGCAGGGTGTTTTTCATCCACAGCAGTCTCTGCACAGAAGCAGCAGTAGCTGTTGTTGCCGTGCTCTCTGAAAAACATGTTCGTGCTCTGAGGGCAGAGCTCTACTGACACCCTGCACACCCCTGGAATGGAAATGTGGAGTAATGCTATGGGTCATAGTAGGCTGGGAAGAAATGCATGACAGTCTTGCACAAAATAGAAGGATGCCCTGAATTGCTGTGGAGTGGAAAGTATGTAATTTCAAGTGAGCTCATATAATATTGAGATGCACTTTATTCCAGAATGTGGAGGTCAGTGTGAGACACAAGATCAATGTCCCTTAGCTGGCTACATTAAATAGCTTAAAGACAGGGTCTAATATTAAAGTGATATATGGAGAAAAAAAAATAATGGAAGAAGCCATCCTTCTCTTGGCATACAGTAAACAGTCTTAAGTCACAGTCATGTTCAGAGCACACTCTAAGCCCAAGGATTGTACCAGTTCTGTTGACAGAAGATGCCTCCCTATAGAAAGGTCATACAGTGACCCCACGTTGCCAGTGATTTTGACTTGTATCACCACTTTAATTCTTCTTGATGGATCAGGTCTGCTTTTTGTAAGGGCTACAATCTTATGTTACTATGGAAACTTCTTTTTTTTCTCTGAAATGGGACTCTTGCCAGATGTGTGGCACTTTATATTTAGAGGTGTAAAGGACTTCACAGCTCCTTTAGGACTCTGCCCTAGAAAGGCATGTCACTGCCATAGTTTCAGTAATTTACATGAGCATGAGATCACCCCATCTGAGTTTAGGCGAATTTGATTCAGAAACTGAGCTGAGATGTACTGGTATATTGTTTTGAAGATCATTCAGATGGGTTTATCAATTTGGACCATAATATATTGTGTAAGCCTTCCTTTTCTTAAATCCATGCATTAGTCTCTGTTTTCTGGGAGACAGACTTAAGTTCTGAGAGGTGAAGAGTTAAAAAATGCTACATTTATCACTTAACACTTCTGACAGTTCACAAAATTATCAAACATCTGAAAAATTCTGTTTCAGGTGAAAGCAGCCCAAAAAGACCCAAGACAGAAATTTTTTAATAGAAACACTGAGAAATTTAGTATTCCGTTTTACATTAAAAAATACAAACATAAAGTATTTAAAATATTTTTACTTTAGGTCTGTATATCGATATGAGGAAGTAGATAATTGCTGAGAAATGTGTCTGAAAGAGGACTGAGTATGTCTATCAGCAAGCCACAGTTTAACTGAACATTTAACAGGCTGCCTCCAGCCAAAGTGTGCCAATTCTGTACATGGGATGAAATAAAGCAAAAAAAAACCAAAATGCCTATGACTTACAACATTTACATATGGAGGGATTTCCTTTTGTTTTCAGTGTAGTTGTTTTGTTATTTTACTCCTTGTTTTCTTTGAATTTCAGCTAAAGTGAGAAACTCAAGGCAAACTAAAACACCACACCTAAACTCTGTTTAGTGATTAGTATTAAGAAAGATAATTGTGGAAATAAGGATACATTGATGCTAATGTTTCAGCCTTTGTACAGCATGCCTCAAGAGACTAAATTTTCTGCTTAAATAGATAGATGATCTTAGGGTCCTTTCCAACCCTAACTATTCTATGATTCTATATCATGAAAGAGCAATTATTTAAAAGTATTTTGAAATTAAGCTGCAGGTATTTCATGGATTTGGTTGGTTTAAAGTTAATGCTACTTCAAAAATGTTGTTTTCTTAGTTAAATGCAATTTAAACTGCTGAGTAAGCTAGGACAGCTAAATACATCCTTTTACATTGCAGCTCTTTATCTTTAAACTCCCTCACTTATTTTTCAAAAGATTAAAACAGCAGTTCAATCTTCTGTATTTCTTCTTTTGCATCAGCTGAAAGGCACAGTTTTACAAAGCCCCAAAGTAAAACCCCATCACTCTTTTCTACAGACATTGTATCCTTTGCAGAGCCCGATGGCAGAGTTGCAAGGAATAATTACACATGACAGCTTGTGGGAGTTTTCCTTGAGCAGGTCCAGAACAGGTTCTGGAAAGGTGGTGATGGTTTTTGCTGCAGGGTGCTGGGTTATTTCCAGATTTACTGGGTTAAGTGCATGTCTGGGATGGGTGCTAAGCTCTGCGTTACCTTCTGTGTCCAACTGCACTCCTGCACTGCTTCTAAGCACTCCTGGAGCCAAATAAGAGGCTGACATGGCCCTTACCTGCTCCACAATATGTACCTTGCTACAGGTACTCATGCCAAGGTCATGCATCTTCCTGCAGCTCAGCATGAGGGGCCTTCAGCCTCTGGCTGTTGCTCAAAGAGCAGGCCATCCACCTCCCCTCTGGCTCACCGTGGCACATCAACACCTTCTGTTATTCTGTTCTCGTTATTCTCTGAGTTTTTCTCCCAGATGTGAACATCCCAAATGCAAGATTCAATCCTCAATATTATATCTTCAAATTTTTTACCTCTTTGTGTTGTTAAAATACCAGTATATTCTGGGGACTTGCGTGAAATATATAAAGGTGCTTTTGGTAATTTAATTTATATTTTCATTGTCTAGTGACTTGGTTGTAGTGAGAATGGAAGCAGAGAAGATTGATAATGCAGAGAATGTCTTCAGCTTCCAGAGCAGAAGCTCCTCCATGTAGTCAGTGGGAGGGTTACATTTAAAACTCATGAAGACAACCCTGAAAAGACTAGATTAGTTCTGATGTGTTATTCCAGCCTTTATCCATTAAACGAACAGCAGATGGTTCATCATGTTATATTCTATTGACCTACAGGAAGTGATAGAAAAGGTGTTTTTGTCACTCCTACTTGCTACAAAAAATGTAAAATTTGCTTTTAGCTGTTAACTAGTGACCTTAATTTGGGTATCTGTCTTGTTTAATGAGGAGAGGGGAAAAAAAAATCAATGAAAGTAGGGGTTTTAAATATGTTATCTGAATCCCCTGGGCTTATTAGGTAGGATAGTCTTGTAGACAGCAAGATCCATATGGAAATCCTTGAGGTAATTTCATGCAGTGTTGTCCTATACTTGTAATTCTTCGCCTGTGCAGATGATTTTCTACCTGACCAGACTAAGTAAAATGGGCAAGTCACCCATTAAGAGGATTAAAGGCTTCTGGCTATAACAAAGCAGAGACCAAGCCTTCATATGTGGCATGGAGTTGAGCTAGTATGATAAAATAAATGAAGAAAAAAAATTATCTAATTTTCATTTCTGACATGCTTAGATAACAGAAGAATTCAGAGTTGTTCTATTTTAAATGAGAAACATAGTTTACAATGGACCATTCAGGGGTAAATCAAGTTTAGAATATTAACTAGGCCCCTAAAAGCAGCCTCCAACTTTTCTGTGAGTTGTTCTCCTAAAAGAAATATGGTCTGGAGTTTGTCAGTCTCTTGAATGTTTTATAGCCTTAGAAAGTTATATTAAGAATGTGAACTTGGACAGAATTCCTGTAATTGTAGACAAAACCTGTCAATTGTGCAATTGGCTTAGTTCAGTAAAATCTACAGATCAGTCATGAAGCTGGAAGGAATTTATGGACATAAAGTACTAATTTCAATCACCAGGGCACAGGTGGTATTTACATGTGGGGGATTTAGGCAGCAGGGGTGAAAAGAAAAGCAGAGTCTAACAACTGGTAACAATCCTGTTTCATATCCAGTTTTGATCTGTTTGGCTACCCTGAATCTTCAGTGAAAAGTCGAATATGCTTAATTTAAGTAGTTTCTGAATGATGAAGGAATATAGGGCTGACTCTGTTCTGCAAATTTCTTGGCTGGTTGTATCCCCAAGGAAAATGTTCAAAAATAAAGAACTCTGAGGTGTGTCATTTTCCTGGGGTGGGTTTCGGGAGCCTAACTTTTATCCACTTTATTATTCCTCCATGTGTGCCTTGCACAGGTCACCACTGTGTGATTCATGCTTTAAATTTAGGAGTTTATGTGAGAGGAGATTGCTGATGAGGACTTGTGTTTTCTGACTGTATTAAACAAGAGAGGTGCTACCGTTACACACACACACACACAAAAAAAGAAGCACAATTCCACAGCCCAGAAAAGACAGAATTAAATTCAAAAGGCTTCTTGAGTAATAGTTGGTAGTTAGGGAAAGGTGCTCTAGAAGCAGGCAAACTAAGTTCAAGGACAAGGCAGCTATGGGCTTCTCAGAGGCCTCATGCTTCAGTCTATTATTTATACTGTAAAGAAGCTCAGTGGCTGTTTGATGAAATAACTCAGCAATGTTCAGTTGGCGCTCAGCATATTTTTCAACTGGGAAATTTCCTATCAGCTGTGTAACAGCTTTTACTGACTGAGCAGGCAAGGCAAGCACAGCCAAAGACAAGAGAAAGAAGCAAAAAATAATTGACTTAGAGCAATGCCCGTGTCTTGTGGAAGCCTGCTGCAATAAAGAGTGGCACAACTCTTCTTAAACATTATTTTTACTTAAGTGTATTTTGAGTTGCTGAAGAAATAAGGACTAGCAGCAATAAATCAGGGCTGAATGAAACATGCATTTAAGCCAATTTCCCACGCATCCCAGCAATTTACTAAACCAGTTTGGTGTTGGCATCTACCTCTGTTTTCATCCAACAAAGCTCTGTTTTATAAATGTAAAATAATCTGTGTTTTTTGCAAACTGAATTAAGTCACCCAACTTGATTTTTCTCTAGCAAAGCAAGTTGTCCTAGCACAAAAGCAGTTTATTATACATCCTCAAAGCTTGGTGCAGATTTGGATTAGGAACAGAATGAACCCCTCCTCTACTGTTGGAGTACTTCTGTGGTATCCTTTGACTTCTCTCTTGATGGGTTCAGACATGGGGTCAAGGGTTCATATTCCAAGTGTTGGTAATAAAAAAGAGAGAATATTATATCCTTATTAGCTGGTCTTGACCTTCCTCACCCCTCCCTGGGCCTCTGTTCATGACAGGCTCTGACAACATGATGCTATTATTCAGCATGGTGGATTTATCTCTGAATCTCTGAAGCCTAAGCTGTCTCTTAAAAGAGCCACCTCCAGGGAGAATTGTCTAAGCACAAAAATATTCTTTCATTCTAACAGGATCAGAGATTATGGTGCTTTCATCTGTTCCAGCAAGTGCTAAATCTGCTGATGGTGGGGAATTCCAGGTCTGTTTTCCCTCTAACCATTCTCCATAACAAAAGCAAAACAAAATAATTGATGTGCTGCTCTTAGACTTGGTCTTGTCCTCTCTGGAGCTTAACACTAAACTCTGAAAACAATCTGAAAATGGGGGTTTACTTCCATTATATTTTACTGTTCATTCTTGTTCATCTCTCCTAAACCATGGCACAAATAGAGCCCTATGTTTCAGAGATGATATAAAGCAATGATAAAGTTTATATTTTGTCTAAATGACTATGCAAACTGTTAAAAATTTGGTGATTGGAGACCAGATCAGTTTTCTGGAGAAGGTGACAAGATTACCTGTGTGGAAATCCAGCCTGCTTGGACCATCTCTTCTCACTACACTGCAGCCACATCTCTGCATCCTCAAAATAGATACACTTGCATCTAATCCCTGTGTTCCATCTTCCTTGGCTGGAGGAATGGAGGCAATTGCCCAGTGTGTTAGGGTCTGAGCACTAATGTGTTGTGGGCTGTGAGTTACTCAGAGACTAATTGGAGTCAATATAAGAATTAAGAGGGTCTAGCTCAGGAAGTGTCTGTAAATGCGCTAGCTTTGAAACATGATCAGACTTGAAAGGCAATAGTGATGAGAGAAATAACTAATTTACTCACTGAAGGCCAGAAAGGGGGAGCAAAACATGAAAAGTAGCAGTGGTAGCTATAGGAGGTACTTTATCTTATATTCTTAGAGAAAAGCCCTACAGAGCTGTTGGTATGTTAAGTTCAAGCCAGTAATTTATTTATTTTTTTATATTTTTTTTCCTTTTAAACTCTGAGCTGAACTGCAAAGCCATGAGAAATCTTCATTCATAAGCAGTGGGTTGGGGCCTAAGAGCTCAGGGCCTGGCTGGCTGTACTTCTTTTTCCCTTCTCAGCAGGCAAGTATCAGCAACCATATTCACTGAATGACAGTTTGGCACAAATTATGGTTATTTACAGTGTGATCTTTACTTCGAACAACTTGTGCATGCCATGAAAAGTACTCGCATTTCTCAAACATTTTTCCTAAATTGTAAGTGTGTAGTCACATTGAGTGCATATTTCGTATTTGAGAACTGATTATGCACATGAATTGTTTGGCAAATGTTATCTGAATAATGAACAGTTGAGAAACCGAGTGTTCACTGACAATACCCACAAATGGAACAAAGGTAGAATTCATAAGCTTTGTTATTCATTGTTCAACCAGCTGTAATAAATTTTCTTTCCTTCTCTTGAGAGAAAAATCAGGGAATATGTTCTTTTTCCTGTCCTTATATATCACATTATTTTATTTTTATTTATTTTTTAATACTTCCCCTTTACCCTCACCCCTCCAATGAGTAGAATAGTACTTTAAAATTCCCAAGCTACAACTCATTACCCTGGGAGCATCTCACAGGCAGATCTCTACAAGGGAAAGCACTGAGGGGGATTGGCATTGCTGTTGGAGCAGAACAGACAGAAAAGTTTTTTTACTGTTATTTTAAACAGCTGGGTCTTCTCTTCGTTAAAGTTAATAGACCTATGTAGGGTTGACTGCAGTGAAAAGATGGCTTCATCACCCTTTTGCTGCTGCTAGAAAATGTTGGTTTTTTTTTGAATTCATGGTTTTAAATCATTCTTCCCAGAGCAGTGAGGACTGGGGAAATGGAAAATAGGGCACCCTGAAGGGTGTCAAAAACAGGATTTACTTCTCAGTGCTGCAGGCTCAACAGCAATGAGCTGTGACTCCAGCCAGCCATTGGCAGAGCCCTTGGAGCCCATGCATGACAGAGGTAAAAGTTCAGGTAATTCAGTATCATCTGCTCTCTTGTACCTGCTCTGCTAGTAGCTCTGTCCACAACAGCAAAAGTCAAACCTCAAAATAAGCTGCTTTGATAAACCTGGCTCTATGCCTAGTTAGCTTTCTCCCTCTGGCCTTCAGGGATTCTCTTTTTCTTAGGCTGATATCTGTGGAGTGTTCAGCATTGCTCATGGTGCAGTTGCTTCCCTGCTCATGAAAACAAGGCCAGTAGCACTGGCTCTGCCTTGCACAAGCTGCGGCTGCTCCAAGTGACAAGGTCTTGTGGCTCCAATGCTTGCCTTGTACCTGCCTCGGGGCTGCAGGCCCTGTCTGCCAAACCTGTGCTTTCACACCCCTGACTGCAAGCCAACAGGCCCGTGAGACTAAATATTTGGTTATTTGCCAGGTGGCACTTGAAGGGGTGCACGCACCAGTTTTGCATATGAATTTACAGACTGGCAGAGATGTGCTCATCGCATGCCCTTCCTTTGGAAGACAAGACAGTCCAGCCACCTTCACCTCAGCAGCTGGAAATAACAGACCCACCCTGAGCTTTCTCAAGAAGCAATAACACTTCCCTGCTCACCTTCTCCTTCAGAAGCTTGAGATACTTGAATTAAACAATTCTTGTTTAATTTTTGAGTGCTTTTTTTCCTTTTTTTTTTCTTTTGTGGTTTTCTCAACATATTTCAAATCATTTCTATTTTGAGGTGCTCAAATATTGAATGCTTTTCTCCCAGCAGACAATGAACGTGCATAGACACAAATACATTTTCTGTTTTGACATTGTGTGCAGGAAGTGATACCTATTCTTCCTCATTGGTGTTTCTCTGCTTCCCTTTTTTCCTCCCCCATTGCTACTCTGCAGCTTTTCTAACCCTTCTCCAGTTCTGTAACAAAAATGAGATTCAAACAAAGAAATTTTTTTTTGCTTTTGGGAAATTAACATTTTTCAGGTCTCTTTTTCAAAAGTGATATTGCTAAAGGTAAAAAAGGGGGAGAAAAAAGACAGTAAAAAAGCATCAATGATTATTACATTCAGTGAAAATTTTAAGGATTAGGTCTGCAAACTCTGCTATGTAATTTTGTTTGGTTTTCTGTTGGTTTGTTTTTTTTGGGGGGGGTGGGGGGAGGGAGAGAAAAGTATATTAAAAAGAAACCACCCTACTAGAAAAACTGCCATTTGCTGCTATGAAAGACATAACTTGGAGGATTCAGTCTTCCCCAGCACTAGCATTTAGATGGTTAGCAAGTTTCAATAATTCTGTGGATAACAGATCATCAGGCAGAATTTGGCGTATTGCTATAGCTGCTTCTTGAAATTATTACGCTATTCATATTCAATAGATGGCAGGAATGTAGTTTAAGAACAAAGGTTACTAAGAATCAGAAACAACCAGAGCATTGGGATTCTTTTTTTTCAGAGCAGGCTTTTTTAGATAGCACAGAAGGTAATTTCTCTTGGCTTTCTGGATAAAAGAGACATTTTATTGTCTGCTGAGTCATTCAGTAGCTGAAGGTCTGAGTCAAATGTATCTGCAGCTCTTCTTCATGGTCTAAGTATTTTAGCTGTTCCAAGAACTCTGACAAGGAAGGGTTATGTTCATGATGAAACTGGTGACGTTTGGCTCTGTATGAAATTGTATGGTTGCTAAGGAATGCTTAACTTCTCCAAAAGCAAGTCAGTACTGTGGGATACAGTGAACACCCTAGCTGCTTTCAACCTTTTTCAACCCCAGCATACAGGTTCAGACATCTGGCTCAGTCTACTTCACACTATAAACGTAGCTAGGTGACATAATAAAGTATCTTATTTTCTTATTGCGGGGCTTGGGAAACTAATGACAAGTTACTGAAGCTTATTTACATTTGGATGTAAATATTATAGTGAATGTGCTTTTACTGTCATTTCTCCAATAAAACAGTAAAATATATATAACCTAAATATAAGCTTGTCCATGAAAAATTATTATTTAAAAAAAGGGACTACAAAAACTTTTTAGCAAGTTAACAGTCTTACTGAATGTGAAATACCATGGAAAAATGATAAATGCATATAGAAGGAGAAATAAAGTACACTTATTTTAAAACAATCTGTAAAGGAGGAGACAGTTGTACTCTGGACTTCCAATCTGTCAGAATACAATCTGATAAGCCCTCTTGATTCTTAAAGAAAGTCTTTCAAGGCAATTTTTTTCAGCTTTTAAAACAGTAAAACCCTAAGAATGAAACACGGGTTACCCCTCTAAGGAGCATCTGCCACTTTATACTTTCTTAAAAGCATTGTCAGTAGAACTTTTTGGCCGTTGTGTTAGGAAAAAGAAAAGTGCATTTGTGGCTAAGAAGGTCTTGCTTTGTACTGAAAAGCAAGACAGTAACATACTTGAGCCAATAGCTAAATTTTTAGCAACATATAGCTTTATAGCATTCTATTTCTGAAAGTCATTTAGACTTTCATATGCATCCCAGTGAGTCTAGCTTGTGCCCATCTTTCCCAGAGAGCTAGTCATGGACTTGTTAACTTTCATAGTGCAGCATTATTTGTAGCAATCTCACTATTATCAGTATCAACCTCTTTCACTCGGGGTTTTGCTGCTGTATCTTTCAGATTGCATAAGGATTACATGATAGGATTATGCAAGAAGCTCATGGAAGCCTTCCATGAAAATGCATTTGACTAATTTTTAGGGAAAGGGGAATAGGGCATGGGACTATGGGAGCAGAAATGCTTGTTGCTTAAACTCAGCAAATGAAAAAGGAACATTTATCTAAATGCAAAACTTTGAAAGCAAACCTACAAAGGCTTTCTATGTTAAAGCTGTATCCTTTGCTGTTTTTATAAAGGCTTATTGGTACAGCAGACTAATGCACTATTCATTCACCTTCATTCTAGTCGAGGCCATGTGTAATTGCAGAGAAACAGGTCTCCCTTGATTCCAAAGGGAACTACCGAACAAGCACAACTAATGAAACTACTTTCTTCTGGACTTGTGTCACTTGGGTCAATTCATTTTTTAAATTCAGTTATAGATAGAGTTTTTTGCTCTCTCCTCATATAACAAAAAAGATTCCCCTGCCTTTTTCCCCGAAGCGTTTCCCCTTTTCCCCCCATTGAATATTTAGCAGCTGCAGAAGGTAACTGCATTGAAGATAATCAGGGGTTTGTAAGCTACCACCTTTCTCTATCTCCCTATTTCTATAAGACTCTCAGGAAATTCCTGACCCTTGACAGCCAGGAAATTTGGACATGTTCAGTCACCAGAGTCAATCTAAGACAAAAGTATGGATGCAACATCATTGTGTGGTTCCTATACCATCAAAACACTTCACTTTTTTCCTACTGTTTGAGCATGCAGATTTGAATAAAGACCTCAAAGATTTTTATTCTAGATTATAACAGTAGATGAAAATATTTTTAACAATAGTTTGTTATTAAAGTCTCTGTTTTTACCACTGGTAAAATTATTCAGAGGATGCACCAGAGATTTTAAAGCAGAACAAATGTTAAAGCAAAAGGAGTTTCCAGCCAACAGTTACTGACTGATACATTTGAGGAAGATTCTTTTGTTTTACCCCAGTTATTTACCTTCTTAGTTTTATGTTTGAGCTCTTGCATGTTTTAGTTAGTGGTGTAATAAAAGATAAGCATATGTGCTTTTCACACAATCTCATTTCGATAGTCTAGCAAATAATTAAAGTTGGGTTTTTTTTTCCTTTCCTGTCCTCTTTAAAGTATTTTTCAAAATCTTTTAAAGGCTGCCACTGGCAGCATCATCTCAGGAAAGCTGGATAACTGTATTGCTCCAAACAAGAATGGAAATGCATTTTAACCAAGATATTTTTTCCCAAGTTCTTAATTCAATCAGTCCTTGCTAATTTTCTTTTTCATTTTTTCCTTGTCTCAACTTTCTTTTTGACATTCTAATGACAGCTATAAATGTGGTATCCATAAGAGGATGTTTGTCACTGTATTTTGACAACAAAAGGGCACTTAATCATGTTTTTCGGCTTTCTGTTTGTTTATTTAAATATTTTTGCTGGTTTCCACTATTTTTCATTATTTGCTCTTACACTAAACTGTCTTCTTACCACGGTAGTATTTATCCACCTAAATATTTCCATTATTTCCAGCAGCACTACTCATGATTAATTCATTTATGCAAGGCAGCAGATCTTTTAGCCACAATAAACTCAAGTGCTGTATGTTGGCAAAACATTAGGTGCTGTGGCCCCTACAAAAGCTGATGAGCAGAGCAAGCATATTTGTGCAGAGCACTGAAAACATCAGCATCCTGGAGACTATTTTTCCTCCTTATAAGATAGAGGAGGACTTGGAAATTTTCTTTCTCTGGGTAGAAAAGCATCAGCCATGTTTCCTGTAATTTCAGCAAGTACATGCAAAACAGGGAATGTTCATCAGGCCTTCTTCCATCAAACTTTTTTTTTTTTTTCCT